CCCAGCACTTTGGGAGGGTGAGGTGGGTGGATCACCTGAGGTCAGGAGTTCAAGACCAGCCTGGCCAACATGGCAAAACCTCATCTCTACTAAAAACACATTAGCTGGGCGTGGTGGCGGGCACCTGTAATCCCAACTACTTGGGAGGCTGAGACAGGAGAATCACTTGAACCTGGGAAGTGGAGGTTGCAGCAGTGAGTCAAGATTGCACCATTGCACTCCAACCTGGGTGACAAGAGTGAAACTCTTTCTCAAAAAAAAATAATAATAATAATTAAAAAAAAATACATTGTTGGGTCAAGTGTGGTGACTCACGCCTGCAATCCCAGCACTTTGGGAGGCCAAGGCAGGTGAATCACCAGGTCAAGAGATCCAGACGATCCTGGCCAAGATGGTGAAACCCAGTCTCTACTAAAAATACAAAAATTAGCTGTGTGTGGTGGTGCACACATGTCATCCCAGCTACTTGGGAGGTTGAGGCAAGAGAATCGCTTGAAGCCTGTAGTCCCAGCTACTCAGGAGGCTGAGGCAGGAGAATGACTTGAACCCGGGAGGTGGGGGTTGCAGTGAGCCGTGATTGCACCACTGCACTCCAGCCTGGCAACAGAGCGAGACTTTGTCTCGTCTCAAATCAAAACAAAACAAAATTATTGGCTGGCAGCAGGCTAAAAATGAAGAATGCAGATGTTAGCCACCTTTAAAGCAGATCTGGTGGAATCTGTCTGCATTGGATGGCTTTAAACTTCCCTTTTGGTAGACTCATGGGTCTCAGGAAACAATGCTTAGGGCCTTGCCAAGAAGGAAAGGGGTCTGAAAGAAAGCCCCTCCCCTTCATGAAGCAGAGAGTAGGATGTTTCCACCTTGGCAGTGGGGAGGGGATGTATGGACATGAAGATCTTCACAGAGAATTTATAACAAGGATTGTTACAGTCACATTTCCCATGTGGTCTTGAAAAACTTCCAAGTCCAAAATATATTTAAAGTGGTCTCTGTTTGGTAGTGCCCGTGGGTGACTTGCAAAATCTGTCAGATCATCCTCTTAGGAAGAAATGTACCTTCAACCCCAGGCTTCAAAATTCTACAGGTTAAAATTCCAAGGCACTTGAGATCACAGTAAAAAAAATCACAGATCACACATAAACTGTGGCACAGTGAGTAAGATCCACCAGGAACAAGAGACAATGACCTATAGAGACTGTAGAAAATTTATATTTTCCCTTAGTAATTGCAATACATTTGGTTAATATGTTTGAAGAAATGAAAGATTGAAATAGGAGTATGAATTAAGGATCTCTAAAATATGATTAGGCAGATAAAGATGTCAACAAAAACAACTTCTAGTTATAAAAAATTAGCTGAAATCAAAAGCTCAGTGAGCAAGTAAAGAAACAGATTGGCAAGGCCGGGCGCGGTGGCTCAAGCCTATAATCCCAGCACTTTGGGAGGCCGAGGCGGGTGGATCACGAGGTCAAGAGATCGAGACCATCCTGGTCAACA